GGCGCTGTGCCCTGTCCGCATCAGGGGTCAGCGGAATGCCATGAACTCCACCATCTATGCTGCCAAGACCTCCGGCGGGCTATCTTGCTGGCATCCAATCGCTTCTGATATGCCTTGATACTTTTGCCCCTCATGCCTGCCCTAGCCTTCCATCAGCAAGTCCACGACCTGCCAAGCAATCGGCGGTGGTCGCAGCGTCTTTGCAACAATCTGCGGCATACGTTCGACCTCGAAGCTTGTCAACATCCCGATAAGCCACGATGGTTCAGATCTCGTATTTCCGTGAGGCCCGACGCGTTTAATGCTTGCTGTCCGTGGCCCAACCACCGACCCAGCAAGACACCTGCAGCTTGGTCTAAGCTTCGACCCCCATTCATCCAACCCCGGCTGAGGTGGCACGGACAACAGCTTCTTTTGCGTCCGTGGTGCACAGTTTCAACCCAGCAGTGCTGCTGTCGAAAAAGGTGACGACTGTCACGTTTTCACTGGTGCCCTACTCGTACTTTATCTTGTCATGTGCCATGACTCATGACCCCAAACCCTAAACCCTAAAACGCGTAGGTAGAAATTCTGATGTATAGCTTGGTGAGGGAGAGTTGCAGCATTCTTGCCATTTTCCTTGCAGCAAGGCCACAATTTCTATAGGTGCACTACAATAATAGTATAAGAATATCAATAGTAATCGTTATAGTAATAGTAATGGTAATTGCACTCCGCGAAAATAGTAATAGGAAAAATATGGTAAGAGTAACAAAATAGTACTGATGAAAAGACCGGAGAACCCCACATGTGTAGTTTAACCCGAATCTAAGTGAGACAATACTAGGATGCCGTCGCCCGCAGAAATACAAAGACGTGAGTAAAGAGAAGATGATAAGGCGAAACGGTAATCCGCAGCCCAGGACCAGCATCAAAATTTACAGGATGCTCCGCACGGGAGCACGATTTTGAACCAAAGAACGAAGAAATTTCAAGGATGCTCCGCACGGGAGCACGATTTTATTTCAAATTTTCAGGATGCTCCGCACGGGAGCTATATTTCTTTCAAAACAAGACGACCTTGAGCGGAGCATTTTGGTATAGAATTGGTATAAGATCCATCCCATAAACGATCAAATTTTGAATGATGATGCCAACGAATCCTGTACCAATCCTATCCAAAAAGCTCCGCCAAGTACCTCCCTCTTGAGCTCGGAAAGCCACCTCGAACACGTTCGTTTGGTATAGGATTGGTATAGAAACCCTCAACAAAATCGTTCATAATGATTCATAAATGATCAAAATGTTCCGAATGCTCCGCACGGGAGCGCAATTTTGATCGATTTTGATGAGGATAAATTGACGAAATTTCGAGGAGGTCTAGGGCGGGAGCGCGATTTTTTAAAATACTAAGATGATCAAAACGTTAAAAAAAAGAACGCGTTGTGTCCCGCGAAAGCGCAATTTTTGAAAAACGCAAAATCTGGAATTTTGAGGATGTCCCGCACAGGAGCGCAATTTTGCTAAATCGAGGCGCGGCCGGTTCGCGTCCGAACCCCTCTACCAAGAGCACTTTAAAGGCGATGCCTCCTATGTTTTGATCGAAAATAGGTATAATACGCCGATTTTTTGAGGATGTCTCGAGCGATGGCGCGATTTTCAAGCGAACAAGAGCGCGTCCCAAAGAGCACGCGGATGTCGGCGGGCGACGGTGCATCTATAAACAATTAGAACCCCACAGTGAATGTGGCGAAAAATAGTAATGAAAATGCAGATGCCTGTATATCACGTCATGTTTGGGCTGGATGCTGGCGAAAGTCTTGTTGGGCAATCGGTGGCCCATGCAAGAACATGTCTTTTCTAGCCTTGGAGGCATTTGAGCAGATTTGCACTTATTTGCCCATGGGTTTAGGGTTTGGGGTTAAGGGTTAAGGGTTTAGGGTTGTTGTGAATAGTTCCTATGGTCCCATAGATTATAGACACCTACTTCTGAACCTGAACATCCACTTAGATACACATATGGTAATTTCCGAAAATAAAGGGACCCAATTAGACCCCCAAATATTATCATCATTCTTATTGGAACCGCTTTGGTAAACTTCTATCGTGTTTTGGTGCCTTCTTCAGGAAGCCATGATCTGATGGGCTCGTTGTGAAGGAAAGCCATTCGAGCTGTGCTGCCTAGGTAGAGTGAACTAAACCCTAAACCCGTACCCATTGGGGTAATATTAGGGTTATATTGGGGTTCTCTTGCTGAATGGATTATGTAGTTGACGGCATGAATCCTGTCTGATTTCAATGCGCCAAATCTTGCGAAGTATCGCACCATTTTATAGTACTGTTGGATCATGCAGGAGTCTAGGAGACCCCTTTAAGGACACCGAACCCATCTAGACTGTCGTTCAAGCCACTCGCCAAGCATCCCAACCAACCTGGGCCCTCTATTTGATTGTCGGTTTAGGGTTTAGGGCTGTTTTCAGAATCTTCCTTGGAGACTGTTCTTTAAGCCACGGTGTCATCACGGCGTTGGCCCAATCATTTCTAATGCTCGCCTTGGCCTTGGGTTTAAGACGTTCAGGGTTTATATACATCCTTAATAAGCCTATATATCCCCATATACCCTCTGCAAATTCACCAGCATTTCCCTCCTTCCGCAGTCCCCTTCGGATCGTGCAAGGCCCTTAGAAAAGAGCAGGCACGCTGTGGAACTTGCATGGTAGCCAGGTCGCCTGGTTGCTTGACGGTTGGTTAAGCCCAGAGGCTGAGCCAAGTTCGATCCAGGTCTTTGCTGCAGGGTTGGGCAGCAGTTTTGAGGGTGAGCCATCTGAGCCTAGCGGCGAAAGATGGCTTCGATTAAGCACACTTCAGATGGAGTTCCGCAATATGGCGGCGAACCCAAGCTTTTGCCGCTGTATAAGGAAGAAGCACTTCAGTACTTAATGACAATCGAGACTAGGAAGCGCTACCTTGTAGGCCCCCGGCTGGCCAAGGAGTTGACTGGCGTGGCAAAGGTGGCCATTCGCACAAGGACAACACAGGATCCCCAATGGCTGTCACATCCGAGGGGGACATATCAGCTGTTGGAGTTCCTGGAGCAGTTCCTGGCCAAGCCGACACTCGTTGAGTCATCTAGGTACATCATGAAGTTCTTCTACAACCTTCGGCGACGCCGAGGGGAGACTATGACTGAGTGGGTGGCCCGACACTCAGAAGCTTTGTGGGAGGCCAGCTCGGCGATGCGCAAAGTGCAGAAGGAGTTTGGCGGGACCAAACACAGCCCCAGTGGAGCCGAGGCCCCAGCAGATGGAGGGCCAGCATCCACTGAGACTAACAGCACAGATGACGGCATGGATGGGCATATGGCACCAGATGCCTCCGAGGTCCCAGACCCCTGGAGCACATATCGGCGGGGGAGCTGGGGATCACAGACCAGCTCTTGGTGGAGTTCATGGCAGTCTCCTTGGAACTCTTGGGGTACAACATGGCAGTACCCCGACAAGGAGTGGTTGGAGGCGTCTTGGAGAAGCAAAGAGTATGCACCACCCACGTTGTGGGATGTTAGCAATGAGAGCTTCATCCCCGACTTCCTGGCAGGCTTCCTTCTGTTGCATCGCGCAGGACTGGACACTGCAGAGCGCGCCAACATTTTGGCCGCCATCAGGGGTCAGTTCGGGACAGAGACCGTTGCTTGGGCTCTTAGGGAGCAATGGTCGGATGAAGATCTGGCCCGACGAGATAAGGCAAAGATGGCGGCGGCATACTTCACGGAGCATGGCGAGGACCTCGACGACGAGATCTTGATGGCAGATGATGACGGCTTTGACGTTGCGAATCTGGACGACGACGATCAGGAGGCCTATGTGGCGGAGCAGTCGCGGATCGACTACGCCTTGGCGGCCATTCAGAACCAGAAGGCCACCCTAAAGGAGGCCCGATGGAAGCAGCGACAGATCAAGTTAGGACGCAACTTCTATCCACCGAAGCCCTTTCAATCAAGATCTTCCGGTTCCTCAGGTCAAGGCGCTGGCTCTGGAAAGGGTGGCACACAATGCTTCCGTTGCGGAGGTCCTCATGGAATCAGTAAATGCCCCAGAAGAAGCAGGAGTCAGCGAAAGTGGCAGAGGACGAGGAGGCCGAGGTCGCCTTCCATGCGTTCGAAGTGTACCATACCGACCAGAGCAATGTGCCCGCAACCAAGAGTATCCTGGAGCAATGCATGGGGGCCCTGCGCTGCGGGGCCGGGGCCACGGCCACGCTTGGGTCCATTGATGCCCTCGAGGCCATCCGCAAGCAGCAGGTCAGGGAGAAGGGCACTAGCAACATCCCGCCGACCAACATTCAAGTTCGGCAATGGCAACCGAAAGACATGCCTCAGCGCCGCCAGGATGGCCTTGAAAAGCGGGAACAAGCCCGGGTCCATGGAAGTGCACGTTCATGATACTCCTCGACAACCTGTGCTTGTGTCAAGAAAGGCTCTCCGGTCCTTGAAGGCCGTCGTGGACTTCGGCCGCAATGAGGTCATCTACGAGGCAGTGGATCCCTACACAGTGGTTTCCTTTTCCGAGGCCCCAAATGGTCATCTCTTGGTTCCCCTCACCGGCAACTTGATCCAGAATGGCAGCTCGAGGGCAACCGCCTTTGCAGGACTTCGGAAGGAGTAGGGACAACACTCCCCTGGGATGATGGAAAAAGAGAGCGCCCAGGGGAGCCACAGCATTGGGAATGCCAAGCATTCCACGGGTATTTCGGCTGTAGGGAGTTTTCCACTTTCATGTTATTTGTCCACACTGTAGTGCGAGCATTGTGCATAGTGTCGAGCAACGCAGTGTGAGGGATGTCGTCCTTGAGGAATGCAGCAAAACCCCCAATGATGGTAAGGGTTATGATTTTATTAAGACGGGTATGGTTGGTGAGTTGGTAGGGAGCGGCTTGAACAATGCGGAAGCCGTCAACCAAAGCAGTTTTTCCAGCATCAAACAATTTCAGCGTCGCAAAAGCCCAATCCGCTTTTGCCGCAGAACATGCCGTACGTCAAGAAGGCCGAATGGGTGCGCCGACTCCAGGATTTGGGAGAGGCGGTGTCCGACGGCATGACCGTGATCCAGTTGCAGGCCCGCTACATGGAGTTGACAAAAGGTTCGGAAACAATCTGGAGAGCGGGCATGAAAGTCTCGAGCCAGAAGATGGGCCCCAAGGAGCCACCAATCAAGAAGGACAAAAGTGTGACTCCCAGCGAGAGCGGCAGCCATTTCTCTCTGGTGGAAGGTCCGGCCGTCCGGCCTCATCCTCAGCGAGCTCGGCCCCATCGAACCTCGAGGGAGCCGAGATGGCAAAGATGAAGAGCGAGATGGCCGAGTTGAAGGAGATGATCGTGTACATGGCCCACCAGCTGGGCCACAACAAGTCGCGGAAGGAGATGTGATGATCCACGATGATCACGAAGGCCTTCGTGAAGCTTTTGTGAGTGATGTTACGGCGCTCAAGTTAGGTAAGCAATGGTTGCCCCAAAGGAATCCGTATAGTCATTCGTGGGGTGAGCTGGTTAGAACGGGTAGGCCCCTTTTAATGGAACTTGCGTGTTATCAAGACAGTGTTCTGAGTCAAGAGGTTATTGATCGGTACGGCCCTGGCAGTGCTATTCGGTGTGCTGAATGGAATGGGTGTAACTTAGAGACTTCCCAGGGGGTGGCCACAGCCAAAGCAATTCTCCGTCATGAGAAGCCAGTGCACTTGTGGGTGGCATGTGAATGCAGTCCTTTTTGTCCCCTTCAAAGATTGAACCGTGGCAGTCCTGAGCAAGCCGCTGCCTTAGAAGAGAAGCAGCAACGCGCTAAGAGACAGTATGCCGGTGCCTTTGAAGTTGCTAAAGTTGCTAAAGCACAGGGCACCATTGTGCACTTGGAACTCAGTGAACGATGCGAAGCTTGGAAGCTTCCGCTTTTACAAGAAGTGGTCCAGCATCTTGGCCTCTCGAAAGTCACCACTCATGGTTGCTGTGTTGGCCTTCGCACTCTTGATAAGAAACAACTGTTGTGTAAAGGTTGGACCATTGCTTCTGCCAGTGATGCAATCCTCCGGCATATGAACCTTCGATGTCAGAAAAATCACAAGCGTGCCGAGTGCCGGGGTAAACATGCCAGCAATTCTTCTAGGTATACCCCTGTTTTTGCTAGGAAGGTCGTTGACTGTTTTGCGGAAAGTGAAGTGTGGTCACGCGTGCTGCAGGACATTCAAAGCGAAGCACAAGGGAACGCAACAAAATCCGCCCATCCTGAAACCAAACACAGCAAGCACGACAGACAAGCCGCCACCCCAGCAGCCCAGTGCCATCAGCAGCCGCAGTTTGCAACCACGCAGCAGCTAACGAGGAAACCCGCCAGGAAGGAAGGAGGACCACGACAGACAAACGACCAACATGTTGTGCCCATGCATGCGACAACGCAGCTGAGACACAGTCAGAGCGAGGGACCAGAAAGAGTTTTCAGCCTCCAAGGACTCGGCAGGACTCGGAAACGGCGGCGGTTGGAGAAGAAGCAGCGAGGGATCCGGTGGTGGAAGAGAGAGTTGACGAGAGAGGGGATGAGAGAGAGATTAAGCAGAAACTCCTCCACATTCATAGGGTTACCGGACATAGCAGTTTCCAAAGCATTGCCAAAGCATTGGAAGCCCGGGGCACAGCGCCCAGAGTGATTGAGCTTGCGCAATCCATGGAGTGTCCCACGTGTCAAGAGCTTAAAAGACCGCAGCCTAGAAGGCCGGCGACTTTACACACTCTCCCACGGAAGTGGGAGCATCTCCAAGTGGACATGGGTGATTGGGACCATCCGATTCATAAGGTGAAGCACAGGTTCGTCATGATGATTGATGAGGGTAGTAAGTTCAGGGCCGGGGTTGTGTTGAAGGGTAATCCTAGGCGGGCTGGTTCTTGGGAAGATTTGCGCACCACTTACGAACAAATTTGGTTACCAGTTCACGGCACTCCCGCCGTGGTCCGAGTGGATCCAGCAGGACCATGGAAGAATGCCCAGGCGGATCAATACTTCGCGGAACGTGGTGTGGACTTACAGCCCATCCCAGCTGAAGCTCATTGGCAAATCGGGTCAGCCGAAAATGCCATCAAAAGCATAAAGGCGGTAATGACCGCCATTGTTGAGGAGTTCCCTGAGATGACCATCGATGAAGTGTTTGGCCGTAGCATTTGGGTTTGTAACGCTAAGGACTTGTGCCGTGGTTTCTCTCCTCTCCAACATGCCTCTGGCAGAACCCCCGACGAAGACATGAGGCTGTTTGAAACCACGGAAGAGAAGCCGATCAATGGCGACATCTATGAGGATGGCGGCTTTGGTCAAAACATTCGAGCAATGTGTTTGGCTGAGAAGGCCTTTGCGGAGGAACAGGCCAAGCAAAGGCTCCTTCGCGCGCAAATAGTAGGGCAAAGGAAGGTGAGGGTGTTCCATCCCGGTGATCTTGTTTTCTATTGGCGGCGGCAACAAGCAGGGCGAGACCGCCAGAATTTTCCCAAAGGAAGATACCTTGGTCCGGCTCGCGTGATCGCCGCTGAAACAAGGCAGGAGGAAAATCAGCTGGGTCCCGGATCGATCGTGTGGCTTCATCGGGGGGGGGCGACTCCTTCGAGCAGCCCCCGAGCAACTTCGCCTCGCGAGCGCAAGCGAACAATACCTTGAAGAACTACAAGGCCCGGTTGAGCTCCCATGGACCATCACCAAGTTGGCGACCGATCCTCGACGCCGCACCTATGTCGACTTGCTTCCTGAAGGCAATCCCCAAAACATGGAGTTAGAGGATCCAGTGGATGAACCACCTGCAAGGGAGCTCCCTGCTCCTACCAGGCGTGTGCCAACAAAGAGGCCAGTGAGCGGATCCGCTGGTGAAGCCTCAACCAAAGCTGTTCGAAGACCTTCCCCGCGCGACTCCAAACGCGAGGGAGACATCTTGGAGGCTCCAGGTTCCTCGTGGCGCACCTCGCAGTGGCAGGGAGGAAGCACCTCTACCTCCCGATGAAGACCTACAGGCCCTCTTTGCAGAGCAGTCCGAGTTCTCAGCGGTCGAGATCAGCTTAGAACTGCCTACTTCTCACAGAGGCATTAAGAAGTTCGCTCAGAATCCGGTGGCCTTCTTCGCGCAGAAGCTGAAGCGCAAGCAAGTTGAAGTTCATGAGCGACAGCTGTTGCCCGATGAGAAAGCTCAGTTCAACAAAGCAAAAGGGACGGAAGACTTTGTGGCGGCAGAGTGCTTCAAAGCTTGGCAGGGTCGTGAAATCTCAGAGCATGAAATTCTGGGTATGAGATGGCTCTTATCTTGGAAATACCCAGATCCTCACTCATCTGAGCGGAAGGCAAAAGCCCGAGCCATTATACTGGGCTACCAAGACCCTCGATATCCTTTGCGTGAGACATCAGCACCAACACCTTCCAAGGCAGGTCGCCAATTGTTCTTCCAATTCTGCGCCTCACGCAGATTCCGGGTGCAGAAGGGGGACATCTCCGGAGCCTTCTTACAGGGTGACAACCTGGAGGAGGAGCTGTGGTGCAGACCGTTACCTGAAATCTGTCATGAGCTTGGGGTGCCCGAGGGCACACCCATGCTCATGCAGAAAGCCGCGTATGGCTTTTCATGTTTGGTGGGTCCCCTGAATGTCCTGTTCATCAAAGGTTGATGCACTTGGTTCGGCAAAAGTATAAGTGGGGTACGTGGGAAGAAGGGTCCTTTGTGCAGTGCGGCATCCAGGTAACTCAGAAGGAGGATTTCAGCATTGAGCTTGGTCAGGAACACAGCATCACCGAAATCACCGAGATTGTCATCTCCCGTGATCGTAGTAGGCACCCTGATCTTCCCACAACCGAGCATGAAAAGAGTGAACTTCGTGGAGTTTTGGGTAGCCTTTCGTGGATTTGCGGCCAGACCAATTTCATGCGCTCCGTTGATGTGAATTTCCTCATCACCAAAGTCCCGAACAGCACGGTCCAGGAGATTTTGGAGGTGAACAAGTTGGTGCGGGCCATACAGAAATGGAAGCACCATCGCTTAAAAATCCATAGCTTTGAAAAGGATGCGGTCTTGGAGATGACTTGCTGGTCAGACGCCGGATGGGCAAACCGCCCGAACGGCAAGGACAGCACAGAGGGCATATTCGTAAGCATGTCCACAAGCAAGTTGCGTGAAGGTCATGAGACCGGTGTGACACCCATCTCTTGGCGATCAGGCAAACTTGAACGAGTTTGTCGTTCCCCAGCAGCGGCAGAGACCATTGCGGCCCGCGATGGAGAGGATGAGCTCTTCTTTCTTCGAGTCTTGTGGGGCGAGATGAGAGGATACCCTCTGGAACTCAGACGTCCAGAGATCACTGTGGCTAAGACTCCCGGTCATTTGATCACCGATGCAAAGAACTTGTTCGACAAGCTACATGCCCCAATTCTCACTATCAAAGGGGCTGAAAAGCGCAGTGACATCGAAGCTCTGTCCCTTCGCGAGCACCTTGAGAAGGGGGAGACCACCATCAGCTGGGTTCATGGGGATGCCATGCTGGCGAACAGTTTGACTAAACCCCATGAAAAACACCAGGTTCTGTTGTTTGTGCAGATGGGTCATCGCTGGAAGGTGGTGTACGATGAGAACATGAAGTCCGCACGAGCCCGTAAGAAGGAAGGACTCTCAGCCATGGATAGCGAGGACAAGCCCAATCACGAGTACAATCACAGCGTCTACCAGAGGTTGACTCCGATTGTTCCCTACCAACGTAACCTGTTACCCCGTAATAATGTGTTGATTGAATGATTTTCTGCATTCCAAAAAGAGGACGCTCCAGGATAATGATTTTGAGAGGTGTCTCACCTTTCAAGGGGGGAGTGCAAATTCACCAGCATTTCCCTCCTTCCGCAGTCCCCTTCGGATCGTGCAAGGCCCTTAGAAAAGAGCAGGCACGCTGTGGAACTTGCACCTTCTATATCTCCCTATATAACACCTATATATCCCTGTATCCCCATAAATCCCGACAGAGATGGAGGGTTTGTAGGCCCAAGAGCCATTGTGTCGGGTCAGCTGCTGCACACTTGCATTGGCAGAGGCCGTGCGGATAGGGCTTAACTCTCGCTTTCTTACTGGTTCCTAGTAGGGAAGAAGGGAGCAGAATCCCTATATAAACAAACCTCTATCCATTATATCTACTATAATCCGAATGTTCCCTCTAAACACCCACAACGTTGTTGCATCCGTTCATCCTTGTAGAAGAAGGCGAGGTGATGGTGGTGGTAGAATCAGAGTCAATTCAGGCAGATAAGGAACAAGTGACAAGATGAAGAAAACTTTTAGCAGGAATGCTAGAAAACAAAAACCATACGGGAATAACAAATTATCGAAACCCCAGGGATAGCACCTGTAGGTGCCCCAAAAATTATCATTATCAATTTGAGGTCTATTTGAGTTACGCTCTACTATCAGTACAGGGAATCAAGGAGCATAACTCCGTTATCTGGCCCTGAACCCCAAACCCTTGAAATCATCACCTCACGCCATGGCCTTGAAAACTCAGTTGGGATGCCTCATCAGACCCTGCTTTTGGTGATTGGAGTATGTTGGATACCAAAAATCCTGCCTGACCATAAGTACCTTGTACCTTCGGCATGATGGTTTTTTGCTAGCATACTAAGGTCATGCAGGATCCTAAATTACCAACAATTGTCTGAACATCCTTTGGGTTGCTACCTGCAAAAGGGCCACGATCACCAGCTTTTGCTGCAGATATGATTGTCAGCCGGGGGATTTCAAGGGTGAGGAGCAGCTTCCGATTCATGATTCATTTGATTGCGTTTTTGCTTCTCCGTAAACTCCCCATGGCCCCATGGACCTCCAAATAGCAACCTTTAAAAACGATTGAACACGGCAGGGCCTAAGGCGTGGATTCTTTCAGAACACGGACGCGACCCCTGTGACCACTACCCAGCTTAAGCGTATTTAATCCAGAGCCCCTTTGTTTGCAAAGCCATTAAGTTCCCAAGCCCTTGACAAAGATTGCGGAAAATCGTTCTAGCTGCAGGTCGCTGTCAGACTTTGGAAATCAGGCTGATACGTTCTGAGTGGTTCTTTGAGCTGAAGATTGACTCTTACAAAATCCCCTTAGCGAGGAAATGTTGAATCACCTAGGTTCCCCTAACTAGTAGAATTTCACAGATTTAGGGGGCTGTTATAGTACATGCCAGAGGTACGACCTAATCACCCATGCCCCCCTTTTTGAAGGTCCGCACTCCATTTTGAAAAACGCAAATGCGTACGTGCGGCTCGAGACTCCAACCAGGGAGTTTTGCAGACAGGTTCCCAGCAAGGCAGGCAGGATCACCCACAGAGACACAGGTCTAGGTCTAGGAGAACATCTCATACAACCAACGTGCTGAACCTTCATGCGTGCAGCTTAAGCGGTACACTCGGTTTCCCTGGCCGACAAAGATGACGCCAGAGCCTGCAAGCAATGACCTGACTCGATCCCCCTTCGCCGCAACTTGTTGGATGTATTATCTTGTAGATTTCGAACGGTTGGAGTCTCGGTTTCTGATTGAACAGAGGACCGCCAAAGAGTTAACAGTATGACTCAATGACATGGTCTTAATGTGCGAATCGCAGCCCCCTTGCAGGCAACAGGTGCCGGTGTGGTGTGAGGTGTTTTGGAGCTGTATCGAGACGGGGGGGTGGCTTGTGAGGAGGGTAGTGCAGTCGCTTTGCCAGGTCGGGGTAAGTTGTGGGGAGGGGAGTATATGAATTGTTTTTCATCAGTTTGCTTCGATTTGTTATTCTTGCTTTTGTGGTCAGTGCTTGTTCTTGTTAACACGGAGGTGTTTTTTGAGCACTCGATTCGATATACCCATGTAAATATATACACACAGACACACGTCTTGTGGGTCCGTATGCCGTACACCTATCGCCTACATGTCACTGGTGCACGCGCTAAGCGTGTGTACGATGCGAATGTGCAATTGTTGAGAAGTTCTGCGTGTCCTGTCGGGTGTATCTGCTGACGTCATTTGTCAGGCACGGCACTCACTTAGTTTGCATGCTTCGCTGAAATCCAATCCCAGGACCCTCTCCAAGGCCAATGAGAAGCACGCCAAGGTCTCTGGACTGAATTCAGTAAACATACCATAACATCGTCGTTCCATGTTATCAGGACAACCAGCCAGCAGCCAATAAAAACACGGCACAGCATAGGTCTGCCACGTGCTGAGCTGGGTAGAGCACCTGATCGTTGTGTTCGTGCATGCAGACTTTCTCAGTTTTTCTGCATTGTGCATTTCCAGCACAAGTGTTGGAAGTAGAGCCACAGATCTTCTCGGACAGGTGCTTCACGCTGAGCATGCGTTTGGCATGCGAACTTTGTACGTTCTGGGAGTTTCTCTAAGCAACATCCCCAGAAACCTCCCCAGAACCCCCCAGAACTTTCCTTTGTCATTCCCTATTTCGCCTATTCTCCCAGAAATGACCCAACTCTTGAACAAAACCTCGGGTACTGCCCCCCCCCTCAGTAACAGTTGGATAATAAATATATATATATATATATATGAATAGGACCCCTAATATAGACTGTTACTGGGTAGGGGCAGTACCCAAACAAAACCATTTAGCCGCCAGGCAAGCGCCATCCTTCGACTCAAGCTGTTTTTGCTTGCCTGGTGTGTTCAGCCAGCTCACGGATGCTGTCTTGCAACGCCGGTAACCTGGCTGGACAAGAAAAACCGTTGTTATGGGTTTAGGGTTTAGGGTTTAGGGTTTAGGCTTTAGGGTTTAGGGTTTAGGGATGGAATGGAGGAATGCACAAGAACAGCGAAATTTCTAATATTGGGGAATCAAATGGTAAATGGAATGGAAAGTTATATTATACAGGGATATATAGGGGACTGGAAAAGAAAAGGAACCATGAAATTGCTTGGGATTGTACAGTCGTCGCTATGGGATTCATTCCTCACCAATCACCAGCAAGGTTTATCAGCAAGGTTTGAGCATTGTGTGCAAGTGCTTGGGTATCACACAAGAAAGCAGCGGTGGTACCAGCAGTATGACGCAGTGACCTTCCCCTGCCAATGTAGAAGCCATACTCGCTAAGGCTACTTGGATTGACTCTTCCGTCTGCGCCGGAGGGACTTCTGCAAGTATCCAATCCAACTGGCTTAATAAGCCGGTTTGGTCCCATAGCTTCGATGCTTGGCGTATTTCATTCTGTGACTTTGCTCTACGCTGTCAATCTGTGTTGAAGACTTGCCCGGCGCATCCACACTACCCCTGGAAAAATGAAGCCCAGGCGCCGTGGTGAATCTTTGCTGGACATGCCAACCAGCCCGGCCTGTTGTCCCTGCGGGGCACTGCCGCTTCCTCTCCACACGCCTCTGCAAGGCCTGAGGCTCGCGTTGCTCGTGTCTTGGTGCAAAGTTGATTCGGATGTTGCAACTCAAATAGAAGCGGACACAGAATTTATGGAGCTAGGAGGACTGGACGAAATCGGGGGAATGGCTTAAGGAGCAGGTGAAGGTCGTATGGATGTCTCCACTAAGGACCGCTCCGCTGACTCCACATGGTCTTCCTGGTGGATGCCTTGTTGCACTGTTGCCTAGGCTTCGTAGCTACATGAGTCTATCGGTTTGAAGAAAGCCAAAGTAGACAAACGGTCTCGACGGGCCATTGCAGCCATCCCCAAGAGCTTGCGCTGGCCATGCTTTGCGCCATCCCAGATGTCACAGCCCTGCCTCACCGAGCATCAGCGAGCATGAGATGGTGTTTGCGGCTGCCATGTCGAGCAAAGCATGGGGGTTGATAACTTGATCCATCCTGGATTCAGGTGCTTGCAGGGCACGAGGAGCTGACGGCCACAGGCCATGGTCCCAGGCGAAGGGCCGGTCTCCTTTGGAAGTTACCGACCTTGCAGGACTTTACCTTGTGCACTTGCTGGCTGGGCCACGTGCGACCTTCTTTCGCAAGAGCCCCGTCCTGTCCTAAATGCTGCCTCGGGTATCTCCCGAAATCACAGTGCGGGTTGGTAAGTTGGTGTGGTGCGCATAAGGTTCCAGCTGCCCAAAAAACCCACAAGAGGCATTGTGCTTGAGTAGGACGGGCTGTCGGTTGACATGTTGCCCTGATGGTGCGGATGGCTCAGGCATTTGGACAGACGGATGACGACAGCCTGTAAGCTCTCACGTAATTATTATGTCTGCGAGGAGCCCTGATCCATGGGCTGGGCTGCGCAGGAGTCAGTCGGAGTCATGCGGGAGCAGCCCACGCTGGATTCCTAGCCTGCGCGTTCTTGTGATCCCGGCGGCTCAACTTAAGCGGCCGATCAGTGTGGACTCAATCATGATTGGAGGGTTTCAAGCTTTTTCGGGTTTAGATTCAAAAAAGCACAAGCCGCTCTGGCCAGCACGAGGAGCACACTGCATGACCATGAGGCCCGATCACGCTGCCACGCTGTGCTGACCCTTCGAGTTTTTGAGAATGACTCTTGGCTGTGTATGAAGCCGCTAGCCTGGGTAGAGTCCGGCACTTTGTGGATGGAAGGAATGGAGGTTCGGAAAGCCAAGTGCGCAATCAGACACGTAGCATGAGGTTCTCCCGCAGTGCAATCCAAATCCGAATGCTAGTCTGTGGCTTCAGTGGTATGGGGCTCATCACTTGCAAAAGTGATCTCGACCGGACCTCTACGTGCTTGCTGAATTGCAGATTCAGGCATACCCAGCAG